GTGCAACTATCAGAAATGGGCCATTTATGGACAGGGGAGACATCATTATTGCCATATCAAAGACTAAACGCAGTGAGGATTTCAGTTTCGTGGAAAAGGATTTTTAATTTAATAGACTGAATACCATGGGTATACCAGTTGGATCAGCGATACAGGAAAATCCTGCAGGAGACACCCCTCGTTTAATCAACCAAAAAGAATAGTTTTAAGTCTAAAAACACTTGGAGACATACTCAGGAGGAGATCGGGGCACTTACGGTCATGTCTGATGAGCGATGAATATGATCTTTAAATGATCTGAATATTTTTAGGTAAAGGATCTGTTTTCACAAGAACCCCAGTAGCTGAATGTTTAACTGCTAGCCTGAAGGTTTAAAGCTCAAATCTGCATTGAGATGTATTTTTTTTTTTCAAAATTGACTTTGGCTCCCAGGTATAACCAGCCTAAATTGAGTACTAGGAAATGTCTGGAATGTAAAAACACCTGACGTGACATAATGACACGATAACCACATCACCCATCGAGTGTTCAGTATATAAAATATTGGTCTAGCACTAAGTGTCCAGTGTACCAAGAGTCCTTTACATCTCTTCTACCTGTTTCCTCACATTCTGTTTGCACACATCCTGTTTGCACACATCCTGTTTGCACACATCCTGTTTGCACACATTCAGTTTGCACACATTCTGTTTGCACACAACCTGTTTGCACACATTCAGTTTGCACACATTCTGTTTGCACACATTCTGTTTGCACACATTCTGTTTGCACACATTCTGTTTGCACACAACCTGTTTGCACACATTCAGTTTGCACACATCCTGTTTGCACACATTCTGTTTGCACACATTCTGTTTGCACACATTCAGTTTGCACACATTCTGTTTGCACACATCCTGTTTGCACACATTCTGTTCGCACACATTCTGTTTGCATTTGTGAAAAATGAAATCAGTTTAAATGTCTGTTTTCAGTGAGTGTTTGTATGTTTAATCCTCAGATTTATTTATAATGCTGTAATAAATGTAGGTAATGATTTTACCCAGGGCTTTTTTTTTCAATACAACCATAAAATAAATCCTTGGTTGGACCAGATAGGGACATCTGTCTCTTGTTTGTGTTTGTGTAATGGATTTCTTTGCAGTCACCTAATGTATCTTTTGTCTCTGTGAATTTGGATGTTGATAATATTATTTTAAAATATTCATATAATTGTGGCTATAACTATGGAAGTCTGATTGTACATCTCTTGTTCCTTGTGTGTGTATGCTCTTTGGTTTGAATGACATTAATTATTGTTGTGTCACATTTGGATGTTTACATGTTTCTGTTGACAGTGGCAAATTAATTGACTGCTAATGAAAATGTGTTGGTCTCTATTGTATATTTGTTTGGTTATTTCGAACTGTTTATCTGTTCTTCAGAAATATATGTATATTTTCTTTTTCAATAAACATATCCATTGTAGAAAACGAAAGAGCAGCATTGCCACTGTAGTGCATAGTAAACCAATACTAAAAACACCCTTGATAGCTTAGCAAAATAAGTAAAAGTAAAAAAACAGTAAAGGTCCTCTTTCCACGCCTTTAGACTTATTAGGAATATAGGGCTGGACCAAAATTTTTATAGACAAATTAGCACTTTGGTGGGTGATGTGGTCAACATCACACTAGAGCAAAAGAAATAAATGATTGGTTTTTTTTTTTTTTTTACATCACTGACAAATTGGACATATGATTCTGAACTTATACTTCTACAGATCAGTCATCACAAGATGGGTAATGTGCTCAACATAGATCCCCTACAGTTAAATTTTCCCAGAATGTTTTCTAGAATCATCAGATTGCAGCTGGCCTTATATACTTTCATAGGAGCCTTTTGAGTGCATACTTCTTGCTGTGTATAGTAAATCATCGTCAGTCAGTGGGACCTTTCCAGAATGTTGCTCTTGTTACTGCACGTTTGAAAGTCTCTCTTTCTCTAGCCAAATATCCAGCCCTATATGCTTTCATAGCTATCTATATATGCTATCTACAATTGTAGAGGTCTGCCTCTGCCTTGTGTTCAGGCAATTGTACATTCCATCACAATTCTCTTCAGGTCACTATGACTTTTCACATGGCCAAATTCCTATCCTCCCGGATGATATAATACAGTAGGTTTCAATATTATTATGTTTTTGACACTAAAAACAAGTGTTGTGTGTAAGCATTTTATTGCATGCAACAACAAGGAAGAGATAAACTCTGTTCTTTGGTGAAGTGATGAAAAGAGAAACACAGGAGAACATTCTGATGACTTACAAGATAATTTGTAGAAGAGACTAATGAAGACTGAGAGAAACTATGCTGGGTGGTTGGTCTAAGACAAGGGCATGGAACCAATACAATAAAGATAGAACTTATCTACAGAACCAAGAAATTAAATCTGTGGAAAGATGAATGTCTACACCACTTAGGAAAGCACATTAAGTTGACAACTGAATACTGAGCTGTAGATGCATGCAAGCTGACAGTGAATTGCCCAACAATTGATTACACAATCTTTGCATAAATGAAAACATACGTGGAAGAATTCTGGCATTTTTGTTTTTAATTCACAATAAAGAATAGTCCAGAAGTATCCTATAGTGAATGTTTGCACAGTGAAATTACTGAGTTCAGTTTAGTAGTTAATTTCAGTTCAACGCTAAATGGCTGTGATCTCCTTCATAATAAATCCATCAACCTAGAGCAACTGGGGAAGTCCATCTAATGTTGACTGATGGCCTGATATTTATAGTGTGCTGTATATTTCTGGCTACTCAAGTCTTCAGTACAAACATCTGCATTCTCACTGCCCATTCTAGTTCACAAAACCTCATTCCCACTCCAAAATCGTCATGTCACACTCAAAGAGTTGTTATTTTCCGCTCCAACATCATGTCCCACTCACAAAAACTTCATGTCGCACTCATAAAACCTGTATGCCCCACTGACAAAATCTTCACGTCCCATACTTGTATTCATGTATCTCTTTCTTTCTTAAGTTGCTAATGTAACTCTCTGTCCCAGACTGTTGTTACTGTATCTCTTTATATCCTCATCTGTTGTTCCTGTGAATTTTGTCTACCCCTGTCTGTTTGACTAATTATTCTTATCCTCGGCTGATGTTGCTGTCACTTTATTGAAAAGCTGTTGCTTTTTTTATTCTTTATCCCCCTGTCAACTGTGATATAAGGATTGTATTTGTTCCCGCAGTCCCTGTCTGATTTGATCATCACTTTTTATTGTTGTCTGTTGTGACTAACTATCTTTATCCCTGTCTGTTGTAACTAACTCATTTTATCCATATCTGTTGTGAAAATTTTTATTGGCTGTCTGTTGTGAATAACTCTTTTTATCCCTATCTGTTGTGACTAACTATTTTTATCCCTATCTGTTGTGACTATTTTTATCCCTGTCTGTTGTGACTAATTATTTTTATCCTTGTCTGTTGTAACTAAACTCATTTTTTCCCTATCTGTTGTGACAATTTTTGTTGGCTGTCTGTTGTGAGTAACTCTTTTTATCCCTATCTGTTGTGACTAATTATTTTTATCCCTGTCTCTTGTGGGTAACTCTTTTTATACCTGTCTGTTGTAACTAACTCATTTTATCCCTATCTGATGTGACAATTTTTGTTGGCTATCTGTTGTGAGTAACCCTTTTTATCCCTATCTGCTGTGACTTATTATTTTTATCCATATCTGTTGTGACTAATTATTTTTATCCCTATCTGTTGTGACTAATTATTTGTATCCCTATCTATTGTGACTAATTATTTTTATCCATGTCTGTTCTGACTATTTTTATCCCTGTCTGTTGTAACTAACTCATTTTATCCCCATCTGTTGTGACAATTTTTGTTGGCTATCTGTTGTGAGTAACTCTTTTTATCCCTATCTGTTGTGACTTATTATTTTTATCCCTATCTATTGTGACTAATTATTTGTATCCATGTCAGTTGTGACTAATTTTTCTATCCATGTCTGTTGTGACTAATTATTTTTATCCATGTCTGTTGTGACTAACTATTTTTATCCCTGTCTGTTGTGACTAATTTGTTCTATCCATGGCTGTTAACTCTTTCTTTCTGAGCTATTGTTGTTGTTAATACTTTCTGAAACAAGCTAGATCAATGACATCTACTTTTGAGTGTGAAGCAGCTGATAGTTTGCCTATGGAAATAAAACACATTAAAATAGCAGTCCTTATCAGAACAGATTAATGAAAAGTCTTACTTGGGAGGAGGGGGGGGGGGAGAGGGGAGGTGATGAGTTAGAAAAATTATATCATCTGTATGATATCCACACAAAAAAGCATAACATTTTGCTATCAGAAGAACTAAAGTCACAGAGCTTTTCTAATCAACAGCAGATTTGTGATTGCAAGGACTTAGAACTTGCACAGATAGGGTAGTTATTGCATCTATAAACACAAATCTCAAATCTCTGTATATATATATATAATTTTTTTTTAAATTGAAACGCTCACATTCTAAAGAAGTGAATTTTTCAAATAATGAGCATATGTGATTCCTACAGCTATAAGATTATTAGTTTTTATAATGTACAACATTATGCTGTCTTTACTTTTTTAACATATGGCAAACAAGTTGTTCAGAATCCTATGGCATAATGGTATTAGTGTGCTCCATCTTCTTCTTCCTCTTCTTCACCTTCTCTTCTTTTTTTCCCCCGTTTTTGTTTTTTTTTGTTTGCTTCTTCTTCTTTTTCATCTTCTTTTTATTATTATTAATCCTTCTCTTCTGCATCATTTTCTTCTTCTTCCTTTCCGCCTCCCCTATCTCCTTCTGCGTCTTTACATCTTCTTCTTTCTCTCTTTTTTTTCATTCGTATTCTTCTTCTTTTTTTTTCTTCTTCTACTTCTTCTTTTTCTGCTTCTTTTTTTTCTTCTTCATTTTCTTCTGCCCATTTATCATCATCACACAAAAAATCCTGACATAATCTCATGCTTACCTGTAAATTTTCAGCACCAGAACCCCATAGACCACAGCAAAACCAACCTCTCTAAACCAGGGCAGCAGTAAACATGTTGTTGTGGTCGGCTCAAAGTACTGTATGACTACCTAAAGGAGACATTCAATAATTAGCAAAGATCCATGATTTAAATGAGGTCATCTCAAAGTACTGTAAGACTACCTGAAGGAGACATTCAATAATTAGCAAAGATTCATGATTTAAATGAGGTCATCTCAAAGTACTGTAAGACTACCTGAAGGAGACATTCAATAATTAGCAAAGATTCATGATTTAAATGAGGTCATCTCAAAGTACTGTATGACTACCTGAAGGAGACATTCAATAATTAGCAAAGATTCATGATTTAAATGAGGTCGGCTCAAAGTACTGTATGACTACCTGAAGGAGACATTCAATAATTAGCAAAGATTCAGGATTTAAATGAGGTCATCTCAAAGTACTGTAAGACTACCTGAAGGAGACATTCAATAATTAGCAAAGATCCATGATTTAAATGAGGTCATCTCAAAGTACTGTATGACTACCTGAAGGAGACATTCAATAATTAGCAAAGATTCATGATTTAAATGAGGTCATCTCAAAGTACTGTATAACTACCTGAAGGAGACATTCAATAATTAGCAAAGATTCATGATTTAAATGAGGTCATCTCAAAGTACTGTATGACTACCTGAAGGAGACATTCAATAATTAGCAAAGATTCAGGATTTAAATGAGGTCATCTCAAAGTACTGTATGACTACCTGAAGGAGACATTCAATAATTAGCAAAGATTCAGGATTTAAATGAGGTCATCTTAAAGTACTATTTGACTACCTGAAGGAGACATTCAATAATTAGCAAAGATTCATGATTTAAATGAGGTCATCTCAAAGTACTGTATGACTACCTGAAGGAGACATTTCCATAATTAGCAAAGATTCATGATTTAAATGAGGTCATCTCAAAGTACTGTATGACTACCTGAAGGAGACATTCAATAATTAGCAAAGATTCAGGATTTAAATGAGGTCATCTTAAAGTACTATTTGACTACCTGAAGGAGACATTCAATAATTAGCAAAGATTCATGATTTAAATGAGGTCATCTCAAAGTACTGTATGACTACCTGAATGAGACATTCAATAATTAGCAAAGATTCATGATTTAAATGAGGTCATCTCAAAGTACTGTAAGACTACATGAAGGAGACATTCAATAATTAGCAAAGATTCATGATTTAAATGAGGTCATCTCAAAGTACTGTATAACTACCTGAAGGAGACATTCAATAATTAGCAAAGATTCATGATTTAAATGAGGTCATCTCAAAGTACTGTATGACTACCTGAAGGAGACATTCAATAATTAGCAAAGATTCAGGATTTAAATGAGGTCATCTCAAAGTACTGTATGACTACCTGAAGGAGACATTCAATAATTAGCAAAGATTCAGGATTTAAATGAGGTCATCTTAAAGTACTATTTGACTACCTGAAGGAGACATTCAATAATTAGCAAAGATTCATGATTTAAATGAGGTCATCTCAAAGTACTGTATAACTACCTGAAGGAGACATTTCAATAATTAGCAAAGATTTATGATTTAAATGAGGTCATCTCAAAGTACTGTATGACTACCTGAAGGAGACATTCAATAATTAGCAAAGATTCAGGATTTAAATGAGGTCATCTTAAAGTACTATTTGACTACCTGAAGGAGACATTCAATAATTAGCAGATTCATGATTTAAATGAGGTCATCTCAAAGTACTGTATAACTACCTGAAGGAGACATTCAATAATTAGCAAAGATTCATGATTTAAATGAGGTCATCTCAAAGTACTGTATGACTACCTGAAGGAGACATTCAATAATTAGCAAAGATTCAGGATTTAAATGAGGTCATCTCAAAGTACTGTATGACTACCTGAAGGAGACATTCAATAATTAGCAAAGATTCAGGATTTAAATGAGGTCATCTTAAAGTACTATTTGACTACCTGAAGGAGACATTCAATAATTAGCAAAGATTCATGATTTAAATGAGGTCATCTCAAAGTACTGTATGACTACCTGAAGGAGACATTTCAATAATTAGCAAAGATTCATGATTTAAATGAGGTCATCTCAAAGTACTGTATGACTACCTGAAGGAGACATTCAATAATTAGCAAAGATTCAGGATTTAAATGAGGTCATCTTAAAGTACTATTTGACTACCTGAAGGAGACATTCATAATTAGCAAAGATTCATGATTTAAATGAGGTCATCTCAAAGTACTGTATGACTACCTGAAGGAGACATTTCAATAATTAGCAAAGATTCATGATTTAAATGAGGTCATCTCAAAGTACTGTATGACTACCTGAAGGAGACATTCAATAATTAGCAAAGATTCATGATTTAAATGAGGTCATCTCAAAGTACTATATAACTACCTGAAGGAGACATTCAATAGTTAGCAAAGATTCAGGATTTAAATGAGGTCATCTTAAAGTACTATTTGACTACCTGAAGGAGACATTCAATAATTAGCAAAGATTCATGATTTAAATGAGGTCATCTCAAAGTACTGTATGACTACCTGAAGGAGACATTTCAATAATTAGCAAAGATTCATGATTTAAATGAGGTCATCTCAAAGTACTATATAACTACCTGAAGGAGACATTCAATAATTAGCAAAGATTTATGATTTAAATGAGGTCATCTCAAAGTACTGTATGACTACCTGAAGGAGACATTCAATAGTTAGCAAAGATTCATGATTTAAATGAGGTCATCTCAAAGTACTGTATGACTACCTGAAGGAGACATTCAATAGTTAGCAAAGATTCATGATTTAAATGAGGTCATCTCAAAGTACTGTATGACTACCTGAAGGAGACATTCAATAATTAGCAAAGATTCATGATTTAAATGAGGTCATCTCAAAGTACTATATAACTACCTGAAGGAGACATTCAATAATTAGCAAAGATTCATGATTTAAATGAGGTCATCTCAAAGTACTGTATGACTACCTGAAGGAGACATTCAATAATTAGCAAAGATTCATGATTTAAATGAGGTCATCTCAAAGTACTGTATGACTACCTGAAGGAGACATTCATTAATTAGCGAAGATTCAGGATTTAAATGAGGTCATCTCACAGTACTGTATGACTACCTGAAGGAGACATTCATTAATTAGCGAAGATTCAGGATTTAAATGAGGTCATCTCACAGTACTGTATGACTACCTGAAGGAGACATTCATTAATTAGCGAAGATTCAGGATTTAAATGAGGTCATCTCACAGTACTGTATGACTACCTGAAGGAGACATTCATTAATTAGCGAAGATTCAGGATTTAAATGAGGTCATCTCACAGTACTGTATGACTACCTGAAGGAGACATTCATTAATTAGCGAAGATTCAGGATTTAAATGAGGTCATCTCACAGTACTGTATGACTACCTGAAGGAGACATTCATTAATTAGCGAAGATTCAGGATTTAAATGAGGTCATCTCACAGTACTGTATGACTACCTGAAGGAGACATTCATTAATTAGCAAAGATTCAGGATTTAAATGAGGTCATCTCACAGTACTGTATGACTACCTGAAGGAGACATTCATTAATTAGCGAAGATTCAGGATTTAAATGAGGTCATCTCATTGCACTGGATGACTGCCTAAAGGAAACATTCTTATTCGCATTCTCCAGCTGTGAATTGTGGTGGACATTTCTGGTTGTTCATCTGTTTGGTCTTTCTTTTGCTTTGTACCAAAACCTGGGTTTTGATTGTACATCCATTTTACTGGCTTATTTGATTTCTTGCTTGCTACATACTTCCAGTTTTAACATATGGCTGTGAATTCTGGACAATCGGTAGGTAGGTCAAACAATTTCTTGAGGCCTCAGAGATGTGGTTTTACAGAAGAATGCTTAGAATACATTGGACAGCCAATAAGAGCAGCCAAGAGGTTTTGAAAGAGGCGGAAGCCCGAAGACAACTAATCACAGACATCAAAAGAAGACAGTCATCATTTTTCAGCCATGTTATGAGAAGAGGGAAAATAGAACATGCTGTGACCACTGGAAAGATCTGTGGAAGAAGGGATAGAGGAAGACAACGAGAGAAGATGCTTGACAGTCTTGTTGCATGGCATGGAGGTGTATCGGCACACAAACTGATACATGCTGCAGGAGATCGCAGATTACGGAGAGGCATGATCGCTCATGCCAGTCGGCAAGGCACATGATGATGATTTGTGTGTATTTCTTCATAGCCTACTCTCATGCAGATGAACTCTGACTCTGAAGGAAAAATCCAATAAATAACATATATTTGAGCTCACCTAAGCATCCAAAGGTCATGGATTCAAATGAAAGAGAGCCAAACTCTTTTTTAAATGACCTTGGCTTAAAATGACCTATCCTTAAATTTGTACCAGATAAATTCCTAATAAGTAAATTGGCCGGCCTGATTTTGACCACATTACCCACAAAGTGCTGTTTAATATAGGGCTAGCACTATTTGCCCAATATGCCTAAACACATTGAAAATGGTCCTCATATTAGAGGCATTGCAGCGTGCCTCAGCCTTAAATAGGTATCAGGCACAGTCCAAGGAAGTAAAGGCGGCTGGTGTGATGTTGACCAAATCACTCACAGAATGCTGATTGGTCTATAAAATATAGGTCATGTTACATGTGCCTAATATACCTGGAGGTTTTGAAAAAGGTCCTGTAGTTTTACTTACAGTGGTCATCTCAAAGTACTACATGACCATATAAAGGGACACACTTTAATATCATATACTGTAAGTAGAGGCAAACCTTGTTAACAGGAACTCAGTCACTTAACATGAACACTCAGCTAACATGAAAAAAAAAAGTTGGTCGAGGCAGAGAACTAAATTTATTGTTACAGTTTATTAGTCCCCAGGTAGAAAAAAAAATTAATTTGAACTATTTAGTTTTTGGGCCTATGGAGTTTGTGCTAATGAGGTTTTACTGTATTACAGTTGTTAGTTAAAAGTATTTGAAGGCTGTCTCAATAAAAAAAATACTAACTCTCACAAATTTGAGACATAATCTTGGTAAACTCAAAGTAGTGTATGATCAACTACATAGAGATATTAACGTGGTCAACTCAAAGTAGTACATCATCACTTAAATAGAGAAATTAGAGTGGTCAACTCAAAATTGTATATCATCAGCTAAATAGGCAAGTAAAGTCGTCAACTCAAAGTAGTATAGGATCACCTTAATAGGCAAGTTAAGTGGTCAACTCAAAGTAGTAAATGATCACCTAAATAGGCAAGTAAAGTGGTCAACTCAAAGTTGTATATGATCACCTAAATAGGCAAGTAAAGTGGTCAACACACAGTAGTGTATAATCACCCACATATAGACATTGCATTGTTCAAGTAAAAGTAGTATATGACCACCTAAATAGAGACATTCAAGTAGTCAACTCAAAGAAGTGTATGATAACCTAAATATAATAGTAAATTTAAAAAAATGTTTAAACAAAAAAGTAAAAAAGAGCATTTCTACATTATATTTGTCAACTCAAATTATTGTATGACCACCCAAATAGAACCAGGAGCTGATAGATTACCAACAGAAATAATTCAAGCAGCAGGTGAAAGCAGCATCAGATGGCTTCACAGAATATTCAATGCAGCATGGGTACAACAAACAGCCCCTATTGATTGGCAACATGCAATAGTTATACCATTGTGAAAGAACAAAGGAAGCGAACGAGAATGGGGTCAATATCGAGGCATCTCTCTTTTAAGCCATGTTGGCAAAATGTATGCCAAGATAATAGAAACAAGACTGAGACCAGTGATAGAACCACAGCTGGCAGAAGAACAGATGGGATCTAGGAGAAATAGAAGCTGCACAGATGCAATCTTCACACTAAAAAAGTTAATAGAAAAGAACATTGAATACAATAAGAACTTATTTGTGGCCTTCGTAGATCAGGAGAAGGAATTTGACAGAGTCGACAGACAATTATTATGGAAAATAATGGCAAGATATGGAGTAAGCGAACACCTCATCGAAGTGTGCAAAAGTTTATACAGGGATTGTAGAATTGTAGTTAGAATAAATCAGGAAACATCTCATCCTTTCACAGTGACATCTGGAGTAAGACAGGGGTGTGTCTTATCACCACTGCTGTTTATCACCTACATCGACAGTATATGCAAGAATGCCAAGCCCATAAATGAAGATCTTAGTAAGATCAACAAATTACTCTTTGCAGATGACCAGGCCTTGATAGCAGATACAGCCATGAAATTGCAACAACATCTAACATCAATGAATGAAGAATGTAAAGCAAATAATATGAGAATCAACACTGAAAAGACAGAAGTAATGTCAATAGGAAAAAAGAAGACAGATTTAAACATAGCAATAGAATACAAAGGAATTAAACAGGCATCTGTTTAAATATCTGGGAACTACATTTACCGAAGATGGGAAATTGGATAAAGAAATTGACATTAGATGCAGTAAAGCCAGACAATCCCAATCAGCACAAAGAGACATCTTATTCAAAGCATATTTATTCTAACTATGTGCTACCAGGCCAGACATGGTCACTCACAACAAACCATAAAAGAAAATTAGTAACCACGGAAATGAAATGTCTGAGAAGGGCAGTAGGAGTGACCATAAGACTTAAGATCAGGAATGAGATCATAAGAGAACAAGTCGGCACAGAACCAATTCTGGAATACATACAAAGACAGCAAGTGAAATGGTTTCCCCACTTAGAGAGAATGCCTTGTGACACCATACCATACAAAGCATACATGGAAAGAGAAGAAGGATGTAGAGCACGGGGTAGACCTAGAACAACATGGAAGGATAACATCAGAGAAACTCTACAACAGCACGGTGTGCCTATGGTCGAGGCAGCCAGAAGAGCTAGAAACAGAACCTTATATCTCCCTCGACACCCACAGCGGTAAAAGAGGAAGTGAAGAAGAAGAAGAAGACCCAAATAGAGACATTATCATGGTCAGCTTGAAGCAGTATATAATGTCCTAAATAGAGACTTTATATTGGTCAACTTAAAGTAGCATATGCCCACCTAAATAGAGAATTGTAGTGGTCAACTCAAAGTAATATATGATCATACAGCATATAGTGGAATACTGTAGAATAGCTATTAATAGTTTTTTTTTAAATGGGTACCATTTTCTTCGATCTGTTAAAAAATATAAAAATAAACATATACCACTTACTTGATTAGTTTAATAAGTGATATACTACTCACTTCAGAATAGTTTATGAAGATGTGTAATACATATTGTGGCATAAAGTAAAATTGTTTTCCATAGTTCAATAAACTTTTCACTACTTATAGTGAGCTATATGCTCAAAACAGTTCAATTAAAGATTCACTACTTACTCAAGCTTAGGATAATACATTTCTAATAGTTAAATAACCTAAATGCTACTTACTGATGATAGAATAAATGTACTTCATATAATCAAACTATGAACTACAAACTATGGCAGACGATTATGTAACTCGGAATATTTAAGTAGACAACGTTCTACTTACTGTGGCATAAAGTAAAATAGCTCCAAATAAAAGCATTTCCAAAAGGATCCATATACTGGATCTCATCACCTGGAAATAAAAACATTGGGAAAGTGAAACTGAGGGATGCTTGCAGCTAGTTCACAGTGGAAAAAAAGTTTGTTGTTTTTACTGTTAGTTTACTTGCATTAATTGATTCGATCCCAGCAGCTCACCATAACACCTTTTATGCTCTTAATGAATCTGCCACGAGTGAACAAATAAATGCATGAATGAACGAACGAACCCAAGAACTCTTCGTCTGCTTTTTCTTCGTAATCATCAGTCGATGCTTTCTTTTTAGCTGACGACAAATAACGTCACGGGACAGTTAAATATTTAGAGGGTGGTTAAGAGCGGGCTTTTTGTGTTTTCTGTGCTTTAGCGCAGTTCTTCTAAGCCAATTTTTTGCGCGTTTACCTAGCCCTAACCCTAAACTTAACCCTAACCCTAAATGAAACTATACGCTTAATCTACCGCCCCTGAAATATTTGACTGTCCTGTGACCTGTGGATTTTTATTGTTTGTGGTCGGCTAATAAGAAAGTACCCAGCAGTATCCCCCCCCCCCCCCGCAACGTATTTTAAATTTTCTTAAAGGGAGCGTCGAGGGACTGAATGCTTGTTTAAGCTCTTAGCCATGGTAATAAACATAACAATAATAATAATGCGATGAATGGCAAATAAATATAATAGCAAATTTAAATAAATGTTTAAACAAAAACGTTAAAAAAAAAAGAGTATTTCTAGACATGTTTGGGGGTAGAGGAGGTGGTTTAGCCCCCATTTCGATTTCTGCGAACCTCTTAAATAATTTTGTTTGGGGGGGGGGGGAGGAGGAGTGGGGTAGATGGCATTATGTTGCCTAAGGTCCTCGAATACTGCACTCTGCAAACAAATTATTGTGATTTCTGCAGTAATACACAGTGTTAATAGCTTGAAAGGCTCTCAGCTTTACCGTTGTTAGTTAAAAGTGTTAAGTCAGGCTGTGAAACAATGTGTAAAGAAAACATTGCTATAGGAAAGGGATTGGGGGGGGGGGGGGGGGGGGGGTTAACAAGATAGCAAAGAATGGGAGCGGGCTGATGTAGAACGTTTCTGATCCATGCCCCAAGTGATGATAAACGGCTGAAATTGAAATAAGAACAAGAGAATCACAAGGGTAAGAGGAAAGACAGACAGAGACATAGAAGCAAACAGGCATACACATTCGCAAACACAATAGGAATACAATGAGCACGATAGCACGGCATCTTTAGCTAATGTGCCATTTCTTTTTCCCTGTCCCCAAAAGAAGAAAAGAACCACTGGTCAATAGAGGAATCGATCACATTATATTCATTTGTGTAAATGCACCTGAAATGGCATACAAAACTATCGATGTGTGCATGTGCTGATTATCCGTGAGTGTATAATCTCACAAAACTGCACTTTATGGAGATTACTCTGGCGATTGCAGGAAAATTAAGGATAGAGAACGGAAAGGAGATAGAGTGCTGTGAAAATATAGGATGGTCCATAAATCCCGCGCGGTGACTTTTCCTCTTGTCGGCATGTTTTCACATTACAAACTACACAGCTCTCTTGACGGCCTACGCAAGCGGTTAAAAACTTGCTGTGGAGAGTCTTATGAAACATCTTATAAAAGATTTTGAGGTAGAATTGTATGCAAAAAACATCACCGAGGCAACAAGTAGTGCCAGTAGAAAAAGTGAAATAGACGTGTTGGAATTAAAGATATTGCAGCAGGGTCATGGGAATATACAATGTTGAGATACAATGTTATGGGAATAAAAGATATTGATAAGAGGGAATGTTATCGGGTAACCAATACTGAGATAAAACTACGAGAACAGAAGATAGTAACGTAGATTGTTATGAGAACAGACGGAAATAAAGTAAAATGTTATGAGAACAGACGGTAGTATAGTAGACTGTTAGCAGCTAGCAGAACAGACGGTAGTAAAGTAAACTGTTAGGAGAACAGACGGTAATAAGGTAGATCGTTAGCAGAACAGAAGATCATAAGGTAGACTGATGTTCTTAAAATACACATAGGTTCTTTTACCCTATCTCGGGGAATTCGAGATTTCAAGGGTAAGTTCAATATTGTAGGTATGTATGGGGTATGGGGGGGGGGGGGGCAAGGGCGGGATAGGGGAGGGGGTGCTGGGCCAAGAATCTTCCCTGTTGACACACAATCAGATGATAGATACCCCAAAGTACTAAAGTGAATCTCATCAGAACTGTGTTTTGGCCAACACTAAGCTATCAATGCCAAACGTGGACACTTACATCCTCTAATTACCGTAAAATTGTGACAACAAAGATGAAATGCCCTAGAAGAGCTGCAGGAGTTTTAAGGAAAGACAGAATATAGTGATCAAGCCAGTCTTACAGGTCATCAAAGAACGCACACAACGTGGTTTGGACTCTTTAACAAGAATGCCTTGATACTATCTACCACAGCGAGCCACATTTGAACGTCTTTCAACGCGAGAGGGTGTGACTTCGTAAAATATGGAGTGATGGTATAACGAGCAACCTTAAAGAAATGAACATCAATCTTAATAGTGCTCTTGACAGAACTCATCAACAAACGTTACAATCCCCCTCTGACCCGCCCCCCTCACCCTCCTCTTCCCTGACACTTCGCTGGTGTACAAGGTGGAAGAGAAGAAGAAGAAGAAGAAGAAGAAGAAGAAGAAGAAGAAGAAGAAGAAGAAGAAGAAGAAGAAGAAGAAGAAGAAGAAGAAGAAGAAGAAGAAGAAGAAGAAGAAGAAGAAGAAGAAGAAGAAGAAGAAGAAGAAGCAGAAGCAGAAGCAGAAGCAGAAGAAGAAGAAGAAGAAGAAGAAGAAGAAGAAGAAGAAGAAGAAGAAGAAGAAGAAGAAGAAGAAGAAGAAGAAAAAGAAAGAAGAAGATTTACTGTTAGAGTGAGACAGTGCTCATTTCACACCTAACAGAACCAAATATTGTAATTTTCCCCAGGAACTCTCGGATTCCGCTAAATGGGGGGATTTAAAATAAAGTTCCCATATAGTATCTAATATAAATATTATTAGGTTCGTTATTTTTTATTCACAGTAAACACCAGGAATCCCTGAGTTCTCCACGAAGTCCGATATTGTAAGAATGTAACGGTTTGAAATTAACACAAACTAACCCCAACACCCCTATAATATAACTATCCCGGGAACTCCGGGATCCCCCATGCCCTGGGATAAATGCAAAATTTAAGAACCAATTATGTTACATGTTGGTATTTGTGGCTCGTGGGTTGCAAGCGCAGTCTGTAATTCCGAAAAAACTTATTCTATTCAGCTGCATTTGATATGGCAGCAGTGGCGTAGCAAGCTCATTTCAAGGTCAAGGTCAAATGCTGTCCCGTGGGAACAGTTTCCTGTCACACACTAATTCACGCACACATACACACACACATATTCACCCCCCCCTCCCCCTTTAGCGATGACACCCGGGGCGGCCCACGCCCACTTTCCTACGCCACCGGTCGGCAGCAGATCGCTTATCGTTGATATCGAATATTAAATGGAGAGTCAGTCGTTTCAAAGAAATGGCAAACTAGTGAACCTAAAATCGCAGGTAAAACCACAGCAGGCAACAAATCAGATGTTCATTTGAAACCTCCTATGACGGACTCTCAACTAAGTTCGAAAACAAAAAGTCGTGTACATTTTAACCATTGTAGCAAGTTGATTTCTTTGCAGGGCTGGTCCTCCCCCCCCCCCCCCCCTCCCTCTTCCTTAAGAATGCCGGTATTCAGCATAAGGTGTCTAAAAAGGTGTCATTACTCATAACAAAGTGTCTATTAGTGTAACGCTGAGAAAAAAAATTATGCTTAACAAAAAGCTGGAGTACTGTGTACCAAAGCGTAACGCATTCTCGGGAGGGGGTGGGGGGGGGAGGACCATTGTCACCGAACAAGCATGTCGTAAAAAGGCAACTAATCAAGGACCTTTCTTTCAAAGTCGAAGTACATGTGCCTCAGAGTCGTCAGAAGGCATTCTTTATAAGTGAGCAAACCATTTGATTTGCTGTCTTTGTATGTAATTTCGAATAGGTTCTAGGCCGACTTGATCTAGATGACCTCATTACAGATTTGATCTCTTCTGCAGTCTTTCTCAGACACCTTATTTTGATGGTTAGTAATTTCCTTTGATGTTCTGTTTTGAGTGACCACATCTAGCACTGACAGGATAGGGTGGGAATTAATATACTTTGAACGAGGTGTTTCTTTGTGCTTATTGGGCTTGTCTGATGCTTCAAGAGGGGAGCTAGCTGACCCAATACTTGACCTGCTTTATTGCATCAGATGTTAATTTCTTTGTCGAATTTACCATCTTCAGTAAATGTTGTTCCAAGATATTCAAACTCAGATGCCTGTTTAATACATGTATGCTCTAATGCTATATTTAAATTCCGCTTGTTTCTTCCTATTAACAATACTTCTGTGCTTTCGCTGTTGATTCTCATATTATTTGATTTATATTCTTAATTCATGTATGTGAGATGATGTTGCAAATTCGCGGCTATATCTGCAGTCAAGACCTGGTCGTCAGCAAAGAGTATTTCATTGATTTTACTATTTTCGTTCATGGGCCTGGCATTCCTGCTTATACCGTAAATGTAGATGATAAACAGGAGTGTGGAAAAGAAACATTCCTGTATTACTCCAGATGTTACTTCTAATGGTTTAGATTTTCCCTGTTTTATTCCAACTACGCTTCTGCAATCTCGAACTTCTGTAAACTTCAATGAGGTGTTCACTTACTCCATATCGAGCCATTACTTTTCGTAATGTTGTGTCTATCGACCGTGTCGAAAGCTTTCTCCTAGTCTACAAAAGCTACGAATAAGTTCTGATCATATAGGATATTCTTTTGGATTAACTGTTTGGATGTGAAGATTGCATTCGTTGTTATGTTGTGTCGAAATACTCAAACAAATTATATGTACAAGTTCTCTACTAATATAGTCACCATGTGTCACTATATTTACAGTGTACTGTATTTAGAAAGATACATTTTAAAATTT